TTTTTTATGACAAGATTATGGCAAAACAATTTTTTCTTCACATTTTTTTAATTGTGGGACTTTTAATTGTACTTTTTAAGATGGAATCACATTTTTATACTTAAAGCTCCATAAAACAAATATCAAAATAAATTTTAATTCAGAAATTCTAAACATGTTTATTATAGAAATTGTGTGTTCAAGTCACCACCTGTCTGAATTGCATTTCTAATGTATTTTTGAACAATTTGTGTAGATGCATTGTAATACTCTAGGAACTGTGGAGTTTAACTTGTAAATTTTTTCATGTTTTAATAAGGTACCTGGAATACACTATGAACCCAGAAAAGATACGCAAACAGGATGCCACTTCTACCATTGGGTACATTGCCAGTAATATTATTGGACAACCTTTGGCATGGGATTTTGTCCGGGCAAACTGGGACTATTTCTTCAAATTGTAAGTATGCCAAATACCATAACACACACACACACACAAAGAGAGAGAAAGAGAAAAATATGTAAAAGTACACACTTTTGGTATTACTCAACAGGTACGGCACTGGATCATTCACTTTCTCCAGATTGATTAGTGACGTCACCTATAGATTCTGCACACCATTTGAACTCAGTCAGGTACAAGACCTTTGACCTTACAACCACACAGCAAAAATCTATTGCATGCACTGTGAGAGGCTTATAAGACATAACCTGACTTAAGTGTGAAATCCTCGCTGTCTTTGTTCAGTTGAAACGCTTCCAAAAGGATAATGCTGAGACCGGATTCGGCTCGGGAACTCAAGCGCTGCAGCAGGCCATCGAGAAGACAACAGCCAAGATTAAGTGGTTGGCGGAGAACAAGGAACCGGTTCTTCAGTGGTTCCTCTCAGAATCACCGTAAAACACACATCTGTGTGCCGTGAGATCAGAGTAAGTTCAAGTATTACTTCAGTCATTTCAGCTGGATGCACTTAATGCCGAGTTCACACTGCACGATTTTCAAAGACGTCGCATCACTGTTGGTTTCACACTGCGTGACTATCTGGGGTAGCATTCAGTTGTTGCTGTGTTCACACTGCACGATGGAACGACGACAGGAGGTTACACACTGCATGACTTTACAATAGGAAGAATCGCCGACAGCTCTGTCTGGTGCAGGGTTGCCAGGTTTTCGCTACAAAACCCGCCCAATTACTACTCAAAACTAGCCTGAAAATAGCCCAATTGCTTTCCCAGTAAAAATCGCTTTCGGGGGGTAAAATACAAATTTTTTTGGCGGGGTTCTCCTGGTACAATTCACATTCCAGGGCCTAAATATCACATTATTGGGGTCGCTTCAACCTGCTGACATAAAAAACAACCGGCGGCAATCGCGGATTTGGCAACACTGGTCCGCAAACTACGTTTCATATAACTCCTCCCCGAACTTCCCGCTGCCCTGTATCGTGCTCTCTCATTGGCTGTAGGTCATCGCCGATGTAGTTTTCAGTCAGAAATCATTTAACACAGCGTGATTGTGAATCGCCGACAGCTCCAGATATTTAGCATGCCAAATATTTCACAGGCGTCGGCGACGTGTCGGCGATTCCCTCAGATCACGTCTTTGATAATTCACACTGCGTGATTGTCACTCGCGTGAACAAGCAGCAATTTGCCTCCGATTTCGGGCATTTGTCGGCGATTTCGCAAAACCTGTCGGCGAGTGAAAAATCGGGCTAAAATCGTGCAGTGTAAACTCGGCATAAGTTAAAAAATAATCATTCTGTCATCACTTACTCACCCTCATGTCGTCCAAACCTGTATGATTTTTCTCCTGTGTGACACAAAAGGGCAATTTTGAATATCCTGAAACTGGAAACAGAAAAAAAATTTTTTATTTCAGTAATATTTAACAATATAACTGATAAATGCAGCCTTGGTGAGCATAAGAGATCTTACTAACACCCAAACTTATGAATGGGAGTGAATATGACAGAATTTTCATTTTGGGTGAACTATTCCTATTAATCTTTGTGTGTGTGTGTGTGTGTGTGTGTGTGTGTGTGTTTTGTTTTCTCCTGTGTGACACAAAAGGGCAATTTTGAATATCCTGAAACTGGAAACAGAAAAAAAATTTTTTATTTCAGTAATATTTAACAATATAACTGATAAATGCAGCCTTGGTGAGCATAAGAGATCTTACTAACACCCAAACTTATGAATGGGAGTGAATATGACAGAATTTTCATTTTGGGTGAACTATTCCTATTAATCTTTGTGTGTGTGTGTGTGTGTGTGTGTGTTTTGCAGGACGGCTCCAGCCTCACATGAATTCATCATCCCGTAACCTGATGGAATGAAAATGAATGGATGCTAACAGCATTTTGGCTGGATGTTTTTACCCAAGGAGCAGCCCCTCCTGGAGTAACCTGAGAAATGTCTTGCTCAAGGACACAACAGCGCTCTGATATTTAACCACTTAGGGCCTGGAAAATCTGTTGTTTTGAGCTGACTAAGTAGCATCCTAGCAAACCCAAGCAACCATATAGCTATGCACACTCAAAAACAGTTTTAAACAACTGTGTATGGGCAACCACACTCATATTTTCTTATAAAACGGATAGTTCCGGTCCTTGATTCTGATTGGTTGAGCCACTTTCGAAGCTGTTGTAAATTTGCTGTGTCTCATTTAGAAGGCTGCGCCCTCCGGAGGTCGCATTCGAAGGCTGCATACGTCATCGAGGCTGTCTCATTTCAGAAAAGCAAGTAGGACACTCCGAATGCGACCTTCGAATGCGACCTTCTTTCACAGGAATTCGGAGGATGCATGAGGTGTATCCTTCGCTGCTACAGATAACCCACAATTCTTTGCGTCGCCGTAAACAACCGTTGTTAATTTGAAAAATGCCGGCGCCGGCAGATGCACACACAAGCGCAGATGTGGTGTTTACAACTTGCATTAAATTGCCTCGGTAAAAACGGATACATTTTGTTTTTAATATCCTCCTCCTTTTTTCTCTCTAACAGATGTATGCTGTACGTACGCTGCAGCTCCTCAAACATTGAACAAAATAAAACAAGTAAAAGCATTTTTTTTTTAGAAAATTTAGAAATAATTTTCCTTCATTTAAGTAGTGTGAGAGTGATGCTCTAAATGTGTTGGCATAGCAACGTGATACTTCCTGTTTCCTTTTCCGCCTGTCCTACGAAGGCCGTCTCGTTTAATTCTTGGTTGAGGACACTTCGTATATGCATCCTACAGAGGATGCGACCTCCAGAGGATTCGACCTCCGGAGGGCGCAGCCTTCTAAAGCCGTGGTTTACAGTGAATTTATGACAGCTAAGGGGCGTTGTTAGGCACGACGCGAAGCTTCTTGGGGCTTTAATAAAATGTAAAATTCTATTTAGCGTTTTATTGTTAACTTGCTATTATTGACTGGATTTTGCATTTTTGAAAATATGCTGCCATTAAAAAGTATAAACACACACTACTGCTCAAAAGTTTGGGGTCAGTAAGTTGTTTCTTTTTAAGAAATTAAGGGCCAGATTTACTAACAGCTTGCGCCAGCGCAAACCGTCTTTTGGTGTTAAAATAGTAGGCTACTTTCAGAATTTATTTAAGACGCGCAGTGAAGAATTAGCACTGAAAAGGTGTGGACACAGTTATTTTTGCACCTGACCTTATTGAATATGCATTTGTAGGAGTTTCCCTTTCGGACACAAAATTTATGGGAGGAGGGTATTAAAATGAATCACGCAACGTGATTTACTAACGTTTGCGCTCGTCAAATTACTGGTATTTGCGCCAATATTTAACGGTCAAAAAAGGCAAAAAAAAAGCACTGCTCTTGGTAGATTGCGCTGGTCATTATGGAAACGATCTGGCTGCATCCGTGTTCTTTAATGTGCGCATTGTCAGTAAATCACCCGCAGAATTTACGCTCCCATCGGCGCTTTTATGGAATTGCGCTCTAATGCTAATTTGCCATGTTTAGTAAATCTGGCCCTAATACTTCTATTCAGCAAGTGAAATAAACTGATCAAAGTGACAGTGAAGACATTTAAAATAACTACTGTTCTTCTGAATGTTATATTCAATACCCTAAAAAAAAGAATCATGTTTTCCACAAAAAAAATATTAAGCAGCACGACTGTTTTCGACATTGTTAATAATCAAATATGTAACCTGAGCTGCTAAAAATTCAGCTTTTCCATCAGAGGAATATATTACATTTTATAATATATTAAAATGGAAAATAGTTATTTTAAATTGTAATAATATTTCACAGTTTTACTGTATTTTTGATCAAATAAATGCAACCTTGGTGAGCATAAGAGACTTTTTACTGACCACAAACTTTTAAATGGTAGTGGTGGTAGGTGGTAGCCTAACTGTTTTTTAAGGCCTTTTTTGATACATGTACACCTGTCTTTTTTCTCTTAAATAAATAATTAAGATGTAGAAACATTTTGAAATCATTATTTCAAGCTGTGTAACTGTGTCTGAATATTTTAGTGTGCATCTTCCTCATTTCTGAATGCGCTTATACATTGTCATCATGACACACTGAACATGTAACCTCAGAATACGTTAAAAGATACAGTGCTGCTTGGTGACATCCGCTGGATTGTTTTTCTATGTAATTCACTGTCATAACCACACGAACGCCAGGAAGCTGTTTCATAACATTTGAAATGTTAACTTGGAAGGGGTATAAAGCGATTTCAAGACTCAAGAGTAATGTAATTACCCTGAAGTGATCGCTAATAAGCCCTGTGTCCCAGTTTAACTTGGCAAACAAAAGTCACATGCAAAGTCAAGTCAAATGCGAAGTATAAAGACATATTTGCCATTGTTTTGTTGATTTAAACATGAGAACTATGCAAACATGTAGCGCTTGAGTAATTGTTTTTCGCAGAAGTGGCATGGATAATCAAATATCCACAGCATGATTCATCACAGTCACCACTATTTAATCACACACGCTTCATGACTGTCTGCATAGACTTGATCCTGTTCTGGCCCCATCATTAACTCCTGACAACATCTCCTGAGACTTCATTTGAACTCTGCGGCCATGGGGAAAGGCTTTTACATTAGTAAGCCTCTAGGGTTTGTGCTATTTGGGTTGGGTGCTGGGGCCGTGCTCACCATTTTTGCTTTGTCAGTGGTCTATGCTCAAGAGAAACGGAAAAACGAGGTAAATGCCAGAGACGGGACCCGCATAGTGACGACTGCAGCACCCCACAGAACCTCGGCACCGTCGAACGAGGCCTGGGACAAGTACAGACTGCCTGACGCCCTTCTTCCTGAGTACTACAATGTGACGCTTTGGCCTCGGTTGGTGCCGGACGAGCAGGGCATGTACATTTTCACCGGGAAATCTGGAGTTGTGTTCACGTGCGTGAAGGAGACCAACCTGATCCTTATTCATTCCAATGAGCTGAACTTCACCTTGACCTCGGAGATGCACCATGCCAAGCTGACGGGTTTGGGAGGAACAAGCGCTCCGGCCATAGTGAAGACCTGGTTTCAAACACAAACACAGTTCATGGTGATTCAGCTGAAAGGAAAACTACAAGTTGGAAAATCCTATTGGCTCTACACGGAATTCCATGGAGAGCTGTCAGATAACCTAGGAGGATTTTACAGAAGCGAATACACAGAAAATGGTGTAAAAAAGTAAGATGACTACTGGCATTACTTTTTTTTCTAAGAAAGGGCTGAAATGTTTGCATTTTACAACTTTTGTCTTCAACATCAAAGTAAATACTTATAATACTAATTAATTAATCGTAATACAATCTTATAGTAATAATTGTATAAATATAAAAATAACTATAAAACTGTTTATAGCATAATTATGTAAAAAGTATTTTAATCATCTTTTAGATTTTTATAAGTTCAATTAATTTGTACTGTGGTATTAGAAATGAATTTTAAAACGTACAAATATTTTTTGTATCTCAGTATATAATATCAGGGCAATAAATGAATTAGAGAATTTCTAAAAATTAGGAAAGAATGATTTAATGTTTAATTTAAAAACAAAATTAAAATAGTTATCTTATCACACCACGAGCCACTGCTTTATATTTTTTGTAATTATTGAAATATTATTATTATTATTACTGAATATTGGATAAAAGTGTCTGCTAAATGCAAAAATGTACATGTAAAATGTAAATTCATTACTAGGTGTAATTAATGTTTCCCTTGAATTACACACTGAATTTTGAACAAAACATTTATGAAGACTTTTGCAAGCTGTATTACTACTTCCTACACACTTAACTGAGATAACTTCATTTTGGCAGAGTTGTCGCCACAACACAAATGCAGCCCACTGCCGCCCGGAACGCTTTCCCCTGTTTTGATGAGCCGTCAATGAAGGCCGTCTTCCGTCTGACTCTCCTCCACCCTCCTGGAACTGTGGCCCTTTCTAATGGCATGGAGCTGGGTTAGTGATCACATCAATAACAAGTGTATTAGATACTCTGTTGAGGGCATGATAATATCTTCTATTACTAATATTAGAAAATATTAGACAATATTGCAATTTCAGTTTAATTCAGTAATCAAAGCTCTACATTATCCAAACAGATTTATCATTTACTTCACAAAAATGATCAAATTAAGCATATGCTTCTAAATTCAATGGGATGCATACTGTATCTTATGACATGACTTTAGTGTTTTTTTTATGGAAAAAAAAACAGTAGGCTTAAACCACATCACAGTCTTTACAGTAAGAGACATAACAATCTGAGTTTCTGAGCTCACAAATCTTTTGAAGTTGAAGACGCATTGCCAATCTGAAAGACTTCGGAAATTTAGACCTTACCAATTATTTTAGCTTTATTGAAGTTTTTCCAAAGTTGTATAATGGTAGCCTTGATTGTTTGGTGGTTTATAACCTGCTCTTTAATCACTTATTGAGGCCTTATATTTTCCCTTGCGTGTTAAAATTTACATTTAACATTCTGAACAATTTTTTTTAATATGTTTATTATTTCTATATACTGTTCAAAAGTTTTTTTGAAAGAAATTATTATTCAGCAGTTCAGTTTTATTCAAGGATGCATTATTAAATTAAGCAAAAGTGAGAGTAAAGTCATTTATAATACTGACAAAAATTCAAATAAATGTTGTTCTTTTGAACTTTCTATTTATCAAAGAATCCTGGGGGGGAAAAATGCATTGTAGTTTCCACAAAAATATTAAGCAATACAACTTTAATAATAGTAAGAAATGTTTCTTGAGCAGAAAATCAGCTTATTAGAATGATTTCTGAAGGATCATGTGACACTGAAGACTGGAGTAATGATGCTGAAAATTCAGCTTTGCCATCACAGGAATGAATTAATTTTGAAAATATATTTAAACTGAAAATAGTGATTTTAAATGATATTAACATTTCCCAATATTACTGTTTTTGCTGTATTTTTGATCAACAAAAAAACGCATAATCGCAGACTTCTTTCAAAAGCACAAAATCATTTAGACCCCAACTTTTGAACTGTACACTACAGTATATTGAATGGATTTTTCTGTGGACACATTTTAAATCTTCACTCATGTTCTGATTTTCCCTTTAGGCACTAAAAGCATCACCATAGATAATCAAGAGGTTTTACAGACCAGATTTGAGCCAACTGAAAAAATGTCGACATATCTGTTGGCCTTTGTTGTCAGTGAATTTACCAACATACGATCCCCTCCAGAGGCCAATATTTTGGTAGAAATCAAGATATATTCACTCTCTTGCTCCCTTCTTTCCTCTTATAAATGTATTTCAAATATGTATAACAAGTTAAAAATGTGTATTAAATGTATTGCTTTTTATTACATAATCAATTTGTAATTTCCATTAAATTAAATTTTTTTGTATTTTTTATATATAGATCAGAATATGGGGACGTAGAGAAGCCATTGAAAGTTGTCAGGGAGATTATGCCCTTAATGTGACATTCCCTATTTTGAAGTATTTAGAAAACTATTACAACACCACATACCCCCTGTCCAAATCAGGTGAGAGTTTAAACATGCAAGCTCATTCCAAACTTTGTGTCTCAATCCATTAACACTGGGCCATTGGGGAAAAAATCAGTCAGACTAATACTTTCCATTCCCTAGACCAAATCGCACTGCCTGATTTCGCTGCTGGAGCCATGGAAAACTGGGGTCTGGTCACATACAGAGAGCTATCGCTTTTCTACGATCCTAAAGTGTCCTCTAATGAAGATAAAGAATGGGTGGTCACTGTAATTACACATGAACTTGCACACATGGTATGTGGAGAACTTCTCTCTCTCTCTCTCTCTCTAAAAAAAATGGTGTTATTTAACTAATTTAAATTATGTCATTCATTTATGCGAGTCAAATTATTGTCTAGTGGTTTGGGAACCTTGTGACCATGAGATGGTGGAACGACCTGTGGCTCAATGAAGGTTTTGCAAGTTATGTTTCATATCTTGCAGCTGATTATGTTGAACCCACCTGGAATATTGTAAGTTTTTATTCACTATATTCACATATGAAAAACATTTCTATGTTCACAAAATATAGCAAACAATACAATAAACAATATAATAATATTACACTAGAAATCAGAAGGCTCAATTTTGATTTTAACTCTGTAATGCATCTTACCCATAGACTGTATAAAAACATTACCTTACGCAGATGACGTCCCACCAGTGTTGCCAGACGTACGATAATTATCGTATTTGTACGATAATTTAGACCTCTGTACGATGTACGATCAATAATGAAAAAAAAATCCCATAATGTACGATAATTTCAGAATTTTGTGAAACTTCAAATGGTGGTCGTTGTAATCATTCATAGGGTTTCTTCTATACTAATTCATCTAGCTGTGGATCCTACGTCTACCGTGCCCTTCTTTTAAACGAGCACTATGTTGCGGTCCAGTACCGCCGCTCCCTATATGCAGAGTACGCAGTTTGCGTAGGGCACCAACTCCCAGGGGGGGCACCATACCAGTTGCTCAAAAAAAAAAAACTTTCGTTCTATATTAATATTAAAATTAACATACAAATATACATAAATAAAAATCTAAAGATGAACATATATATATATATAATTATAAAAGAATGCATTTTACGGTGAAGGCTAAGCACATGTGATGCGCCATTCCCGCCGCATCTGTGCCCGCGACCGCGACCGCTCGCACCTCATAAAAAATTTTTTTTTTAAAAACGCTCACACCTCCTGTTTTCGACTGGATGCAAATGATCATAATTGATGGACAACTATGCCGGGAAAAGACATCAGCGATCCGGCGCCAAGAAAAGGAAAAGAAAAAAAGATGAAGCCCGTGCATCACTTTCAGGTAGCCTACATTCATAATCC